TTTGAACCTCTTTGCATGATGAAGATGTGACTATAGTTTTTGATCTTTCTTCCATGTTTTTTTTTTTTCCTTTTTTACTTTTTTACATAAATCAAATTTGAATGAAATTTTATTCCCCCTTCTTTTTATTTCTTATCCCTTCTTTCTGGATTCAGGGTTTGCAGTCTTTTGCCTTGACTGTGTGCGACACGGGGAACTCTCGCGCCGTTATTATGGCTTTTGTGAAATGCTTTATGACTACGATTTCGGTCATATACGTTCTGTGACGGTGTTTCGAAATGTGATGCTAGCCGTCGGAGACTGCATCTGACTGCATTTCTGGCCATAATACATTCATCTAGGGTGGTTAGTGCTCTCAAGAGCGCGTTTCTCGGTGTTTGTACGTAGCAACCTTTCACGTTTGTTAGGGTCCGAAAGATCCCACCTCTGTTCTTTTTCGAAAGAAAAGTGCTACAAAAGGTGGGAAGTTGCAGCCCCGAACGTAAAAGAACAATGGGAACAGAGACATGCGCTGCTTCTGTAGGACTTTCCTAAACAGGCAGCCCGCTGTCTTGTGGCGCCTCTAGGATCCAACGACCTGCTCATCAGGGAAAAAAAAAAAAAAAAAAAATCCTAAACTGGCAGCTGCTGTTTTGTGGCACCTCCAGGATCCGACGGACTGCTCGTTAGGGGGAAAAAAAAAAAAAAAGTCACCTTCTTTTGCGGTGCAGGGTGTTCTTGGCTCTGAAAATGAGATGACTCTTGTTTTTTTCCAGGGTTTAAGGGGTGTAGTGCCCAAGGCTGGGAATTACAGTTAAAACTTAAAACCATGCACTGAGCCCGGTGTCCCTTACAAGAAGTCAGGCGACACTTTAGTGGGATGAGCAAGGCACATCAACCGGATCGTGGCCAAAACGAACAAGAACATCGATTCAATTTGACATTGTTCTACAACACCAGCTAATCACAAAAGAAAGAGTGCATAAAAAAAAAAAAAGGAGAGAAAAAAAAAGAAAGTTACCACATGGATCTTTAAATAAAATTTAAAAAAAAAAAAAAAAAAAGAAAGAAAGAGGGAGAAGATTTTAAAAAAAAGAAAGTTCACGATTTCCCAGTAAAACCCTAATCTTTTTATCTTCTCGAATTTGAATGAAAAACCGAAAGAGGTTGTAATCTAATCTTCGCGTAAACGGGAATACAACAAGATGGCATATATGCATCAGAAAAGAACCCCAAAAAAAAGGCATTTGTGTGATGACCTGGTATAAAAAACAGGTCAGGTTCATAAAGCTCCCAAAATAAGGAACGTTTCCACCCGCACGACACAGTCCCTCCTCTTAGCGTGGGCCGTGGGCTTTCCTGGAACTTGAGGCCCTGTCTAATCATCCAATTTTGTTTTGTTTGGTAGTACTTGGCCCGGCTGTCGATGTTGAGCCTGGAATGCCCGTGCGCCAATTTTTTCCGAAATGCCGGGGTACCGTTTCAATTTTTTTTTGGCTGGCGCTTCCAGCCATTGTGGTCCGGTACCCCGAAGCCCTGAAGGCGCGGCGCCATAACGGGGAAGCGCCGTGGCGGATAGCTGGGCCAAGTACTGGTTGCTCAAGTCAAATTTCGTCACTTTCTAGTACCCATTGGTGCCGCCTTTCGGGGTTTCCTGAGGGACCGACTCACTCTGCATAAATTGACTGAACGCTTAAGTATTGTATTAAACCACCAGTACTTGGGCACTGCGCGCCGCGCCGGCCGCCCAAATCTCGAAGCAGCGTGGGCTGTTGATTCGATTTATGGACGGCCCGCCGGCTGCGGAAATTGCGTAGCGTTAACGCTAAGGCGTCGCCCAAGTACTGGTGGTTTAATATCAATGGGTATAAGTATAACCTAGGCTACCAGTTGTCCAATGGCAGGACGTCCTGGGCGGACAGTCAGGGGGGTCCCGGACGTCCGGGCCCAGACAACTCCATTTTTAGCAATTAAAAGCACGAAAAAGTATAAAAAGAAGGGGTTCTATTTTTATTTTATTTTTTATTTTAAAATTGGCAGCGAATTTCGATATGATTCCAAGGCAAAAGTTGTTCATTTTATTTTTCTGTATAGCATACTTTTTTTTTTTTTTTTTTTTTTTACTTTTTTTTTTTTTTTTTTTTTTTTTTTTTGGGCTCGGACAGACTGCCCGGGGAGGACGTCCGACCAGTTGTCCGATCGGACAACCCCGGACGGGCAGGGGGGTCCCGGACGTCCGATCAGGTAACCTAGGGTATAACTTAATTCATGGGATTTTTATTTTTCATACCAACAAACAGAAAAAATAACTTCAATTGCCGCCACACCGCCCACGATTACAAGGTAGCGGAAACCATAATTTACAGAGAATTTCATTATTGGTATATTTATGAGACCTATACAAACAAAAAGAGAAGCTACATACATCTGCAGAAAAGAATAGAAAACGTAGTGCACCTAAATAGATAAATAGCAGTATTAATACGGAAGTGTTTCGAGCATCCTGCGCTCTTCATACCTCGCCCTCGATGATGACGCCTTCAGATAGTGAAGTTTCCCCCTCGTCCCTTTCCGTGCCGAATCTCCGTGAAAATACCGTTTATTTTCACCTGCACAGCAGGGTCATGCCTAATGGCAGACCCAACTGCCCTACCGTCCTCCTGCGAACACGAGAAGAATTCGTTTTCTTTCCATATGGGGGGATGCTCACCGAGGTCCACGATGATGCCTTCACAGATCGATACCCCCACTTCCCTAGCCCTCCTTGGCAGTCGATCCTCACAAACGGTGGCCATTCGTGCTAAACTATCCCTTACACAATGATGACAGAGCCTGCATCTATGATGGCCTCGCCGCACCACTCACGAAAGGTGCAAAATGAGAATGTATCTTCCCGAAGAGAACATGGAAAGATGTAGGATCACAAAATGTGCAAAATGAGAATGTATCTTCCTGTAGAACATGGAAAGATGCAGGGTTGAATTTTTTGTCTCTTGTGCATTTGCTGAGTAGTGCGGCAAGGCCCTATCTGATCTAAAGAACTTTTATCGGCAAGCAACAACAACATTAAAAAAAAAAACAAAGTAAACGTTCAAAAAAATAAAAAAGACAACCGGAAACCTAAACCCTAAACCTTCAAAAACAAATTCTGACCACCAACCAACGAACAGAGGAAATGTTAAAGAAAAATCGACAGGCAGCTAAAATCTTCGCAATCACTTCCTTCGGCTCTCCTTCGTCTCCCTATGGCTCCTCAGCACCAAACCAATCTACATGGAAAGTGAGACGCGTTCAGACAAAGAACATTTGCCGATGCATGGGTCAGGTACCGGCAGCGGTTTAACTTCAACCTCTACTAAATGCTAAATCCCAAGAGTCGACCCCTCCGACCCCTCGAACCCCTCCATGCACCTGCGCTGAAAAACCCTTACAAAACCCCTCCGGCGCCTCCATGCCTCCAGCATGTCAAACCCTAAACCCTAAACCCTAAAGGTCAATTTCAAACCCTAAACCCTAGACTTCCTGCCAGGCAGGCCAACACAATAAAAACCACACCCCAAAAAGGTCCTTAAACCCTAAACCCGCCCCCAAAAGTGCCTAAATCATACACAATCAATAACTCGTGACCAGCGTACCAAACTACCAAAAGTACCAAAAGGACCAAATCACTTTCACAACTGAAATTACTAGATTAGGTATATGCCCCCCCCCC